CGTTGGAAAAGTCCAGGACTACTGCATGTTATAAGATGAAATATGGGCTCGTAAAAACTATTAAGGAAAATATCATTAAAACTTTAAAGGAGACTCCATTTTCTCTAAATTTGGATGAAAGTACTAGCAATGCTCAAGAAAGTATACTGGCAATATTGGTGCAGTTTTATGACAACAATCAAAATGAAGTTGTAGTTCATCATTTTGCATCTCTAAAGATGGAATCTTGCAATTCAGAAGCTGTTTTTAAAGCAGTTGTTAATACTATTGAAGATAATAATATTCCATGGGCAAACTTAATTAGTGTATTAATGGACTCATGTAACACCATGCGTGGAAAAAAAAAGGGTGTTGAAACCAGACTACGATCAAACAAAGCACCCCACTTATTAGATATTGATGGTGACACATGTCACACAGCTAATAACTGTGCAAAAAAAATTGCTTCATGTTTTGATAGATACTTAGAAGATTTGTTTGATGACATCTATTTTGATATGAAAAGCTGCAGTAAAAGAGAAATTTTTTTTCAAAATCTGTGAATCCCTTGCCATTAAAAAACTTAAGCCCTTGAAGAGACCAGACCATAGGTGGGTTGTACATTTTATGTGTTTTAGAAAGAATCAAAGATCTGTGGATGCTCTTATTGCATTTTATTTTCACTACTTGGATAAAACTGATAAAGGGGATTATTTTTCTTATGTTGAAACTGTATACAATAAAAGAAATATTTCTGCAGCTCAGAAAAAAATTGTTAAAGGGGTGTATTCTTGCTTGCATTCCCAACCAACTCACAAAGATGCTTTAGCTCGGAAAAAAAGAATACTAAATGGGTTATTTGTTATGCAAAACAAAACTTTATTGCATATGGCATTATATTCAGCAGTATTACCAGAGTTCAACACATAGATTAAATTATTTGAAACAAAAAAAAAACCAATGCTTCATTTAATACATTCCAGTATTTATAAATTGATGGCAAAATGTTTTTCTCTTTTTTTATGAAGCCAGAAAATATAGAGTGCACATCTTATAATGATTTATTAAAGGTTTGATGTCACAAATCCAGAATTCCATCTACCTAGCAAAGTAATATTTACTGGTGCAGAAGCTTCACTCTCCTGAAGAAATTATCAAAAAAATCATCCAATAGCAAAAGAATTCCAAATTTCTCGATGAAAGCTTTATACTAATACAGCACAGCATATTAAACAGAAATTACCCCTTTAAAAATTCATATCTAATTAGTTTTACAGCATTAGATCCAGAGCTAAGAGGTAAAACCAGTACAATATTAGCTTTTGAAAAATTATCATCTTTTACGTCACTATTTTTTAGTGATAATGAAAAGTCAAAAGTAGAAGCTGAAATAAGGTTATACCCGAGAGTGATATTGATATCACCAAAGAAATGCTCTACACATCTGATGAAGTGCAAATCAAGTCAAGTGTACAATTGATAAATATTGGTCTAAAGTTTTTAATTTGAAAGATGATTTCACAAATGATTATAAGTATCCTACATTGGCTAAATTGGTCAAAGCTGGCCTTAGCTGCTTCCATGCCCATTAGTGGAAAGTGCATTCAACTTAATGGATACACTTGTCACTGGCTATAGAACCTCTCTTAAGATTGATTCCCTAGATGCAGTGCAGACTATTAAATATGATTTAATAGCTTCTTAAGAAACCTCATGTGAAAAATATGGCTAAAAAAATCCAATGACTGATCCAATTCACAAAGATCGCTTACTGAATATGAACAGAAGTTGGAAAACATATCAAGAGGACTTAAAAACATTATTTCAGATGAGTCACCTATAAAAGTCTCTGAAAAAACCTTCTTACATTAGCAGAAAAGCAAACTGCTTTACTTCTGCATGTGCAGTTCTCGAGAAATTTCTTTCTTCAAATGTAATGAGGAAAATAAAGTCAACCTTCCTGCAATTATGAAGTTCACCACAAAAGAAAGACAAGCCCACAAACATCAGAAAATAAAAAAAAAGCAGCATAACATTAGATAATTTTTTTTTTAAAATTAATTAATTCAGGTAATTTAAATATTTACATAAAAATGTAGTAGTTTTATGTGTTGAAAATTTCTGGTTATTAATTTTGCAAAAAAAGTAATTCATTGAACTTTTAATTAGGTCATTCAATACTTCATAATTGTAATTTTCATTTTCTCTCCCCCCCCGCTTCTCGAAACTCCAAAATGTTGGTAGTAAGTCCGTAAAAGTTTCAGGGGATTTTTTTGGGGTCCCACAAAACACCCCTTTTTCTTCATGTAGAAGTTACTTTCTTCGAGTATGTGGTTACAACTACATAAATTTCCAGTGAACGATGGTGATTTTGCATGCTAAAGTTGCTGATGTTTTGCTCTATCAAATGCATCTTTTTCTGATATAAGGTACTTTTTGAACAGATTTCCTGTGTTACTTCATTTGTCATGAAAGATGGAATTGATGTTGCTACTGATATTGTAGTCGCCATTTAACAGTTTACAATTAGAAAACTTGGATGAAGTTATAAAATCAGCTAGGATTGACACCCAGTGGAGTTTAATTGGAATATGAAATGTGCTGATGAATTTTAAATTATAGTGAATCTCTAGAATTATGTGGCCTCTTGACAGTTCCCATAGTAAATGCGGAATGAGAGGATTTTCAGTGTTGTTCGAAACGAGAACTAAATTTTAGATCCAATATTAGTGATGACACATTAGAAAAATTTTTATTAGCCGAAGCAGGCCTATGTGCAATTGCTATGAACAAAATTATGAAGTTTCTTCTTAACGAAAGCAAAATCTGCCACTTCCATAACATTTGTATGAAAACTGATTAAGTGTCTTTTTTTTTTAAAGATGCAAGTAATAAAATGTTTTATGTCTAAGGTATTTTTGTTTTGCTTACATTTAAGACTTAGTACTATTTAAAGTTAATTCATTATTAAAAACTATATTTTTATCATTTAAAAAGTATTTTTAACTTTGTGAAAAATCTCCTGATTTCTTAATAAAGTCTCCTGATTTTTGAGTGTCATAGGTTGGCAAATATGTATTTGGAAGTATTACTGCTAGGAAATCATTATTGTATATTGTTTTAGATAAATGCACCACAGTGCTCAGTTTTTTTGAGTATAATTTTCTCTAGCAGGGAATTTCTGTTGTACTGCTTAAAAGTAAAGATAGCATTAAAAGTAGTCTAAATATTGTGGTTTAAAATTTAAGAATTAAAAATTTAAGTGCCTAACTCGAAGTTGGTGTTTGACACTTTAAATAAGGCGCAGCACAGTTTTCAGTGTATTTTACTTGTTAATTTATTTCAGTTTATTATTAGAGGTGCAAAATTCTACATTGAAGGATTGATGGCTTTGCAATTCATTGCACGTAAACATTTCTGCTAAGTCCTCATGGATTCAGTTTTGGTTGGGATGTATATTAGAACAAAAGTAGTCAAAGTACAAAAGTGAAAGGGTCATTTTGGAATCGTAATCAAGAAAATATCACTTATTCATCCCATTTTGAGAAACATTAGGGTTTCAGAACCTAACCTGTAATACTCAGAGGATTAATAGATTCTGATTATGTAAAATAATGTTACTGCAGGCTTCTATATAAAAAATGCTATGGGGAAAAGTATTTTTTAATGTATTGTTATATTTTGTTAGAAAAATTATTTACGCTTAAAATTTTGAATTTCTAAGTTATTCTGAATTTAAAAGCTTCCTTGATAAATAAAATGGCATTTTTAATTGATGTGAAGAAGCACTGAATTATGTATATGAGCCCTGTAGAATTAAAATTCAAATAAATAAAATATTTATTATGCTGTAAAAGAAAACTGTAATTTTTAGGTATGCCTAATTTATAATCTTAAAAAATACAGTGGTCAACTATGAGTTCAGTGAGACATGCTGCTTTAGCCAGAATGATGCAAATTGCCAAAATGAGCGAATTTTATTTCATATCTGCTCCCTAAATTAATTCCAAAACTCTTGACTTTAAATTATTGATAATATAAGCCATGAAAAATAATTTTTTACTCTGCCAAATATCCGTGTGAATTATTGCATGCCAAAGTGTGGAATTTTTTTTAAATGACTTAAAACATAATGGATACAGTCAAAAGTCATTAATTCGGACACCCATAATCCGGAATGATCTATAATCCGGACCTCAAAGCTACAAACTTTCTGCGCATGCGTCGCGTTGATGCATGCGCTGAACAACCTTTACGTCTGTGGAATATGCGTGTGATTTCTATAATCCGGAATCGCCGAAGTCCCGATGAGTCCAGATTAACGACTTTTGACTGTATTTGTTTATTACTCAGAGGTATTTGTTTATTACTCAGATTTTATTAAGTATCTACTGGATGATCGATAGATTTTCTTTTTTTTTAAAGAGAATTTTCTTTATCCACCATGCCTAAATTGTTTTTACGAAACTTTGTGCTTGGCTTTGAAAAAGATAAGCACAAAGTGAATATCCATAACATAATTATACATAAGATTACTTATAAGGTTACATTTTCTTAGAAATATATGCTTAAAACCAATAATTTAAGCATATACTTCTAAGAAGTATAATTAATGGCCAGCTTCTCATACTTTCAACCTTGTTGTCTCTAAGCAGTGTCCATTCTCTCAGGCAATCCTGCACTTTTCTTTGTGTAGTTGAGGTACATTACTTGCTTTTATAATCTGAGAAATGAATCTCAAATACAAATGCAATAAGTTCTTGCTTTTGACAACATGTTCGATATGAATGTTCTTAATGAATATTTCTTATAACATCTTTAAATGGAAAAAAGTTTCCTGTAATTAAGATAATGGCAACTGTATTACTTATTAGCATATGTATCTGTCATTTTTGGAGGTAATTCTGATTTTTGTGGTATCTGCTATACGTAGTATTAATTATTATAGAATTCTTTTTTTTTCCTTTTTAATTATCAGTAATGATACGTTTTTAGATAATTCATTGCGTTTCCTTATATAGGGAGCTCGCAGGTTCAGATTCAAGTGAAGAAAGTGAAGATGAATTAGAAATTGATCGTGGAGGGAATGCCAGACATGACCTAATGATGAAATTAGAGGTAATTATGCTTTTACGAAAGTTATTTCATTTTATTTATTGTGCTTTCTTATGTTATAGAGTCATTTAATTCTCATATATCATACAAGAACAGAAACTGATGACATTAAATTCTTGTTAATTTGAATATCCATAACATAATACATATAGCTGCTAGAATAACTTCTTTTTATCTACTATTGCAATTCCAGTATAATAATAGAATCATTTCATTTTATCATCTAAATGTAGGCTGTCCTGCAAATATTATCAAATTAAAAAAAATCTGAAGAATATGGGAAATTTTTGTGTTTAAATTGATTGTATACAATGGTGGATTTTTAACATCAGTGTTATATATAAAGTTACTTTGATCTTACAAGCCCAAGGCATGTTTGTTAAAGGTTTTATTGTTTTCACAGAAATTTTCATGCCAGAGAATCTGGTTTTGTTCTATTATTTAACTGTTGCTTGTTTTCAAGCTCATTGCTCAATTTTTTATATCACAATCTTGATCAAATGCATTTTTAGCTGCTGAATCTTTGATTGCAGATTCTAACAAAGAAAAAAAATAATAATAATAAAAAGTAAAACATTTCTGAATTCAAAATGCAAGGAAGATTACTGTTCATTAATAATACGGATAAAATGTCCCCAAAGCTAAAATTTTCCAGTATTGAGTCTTACTCTAATAGGAAAAACACTGCTAAAGCAAAAGTTTAAAAAAAGATTTTTCCATCAACAATTTATTCAAAGATTTAAGTTGTTCTGGAAATCAGTTGAGGAATGTGTATCATGAGGCTGGTACAAAGAAAGGGAGAAAATGCAAATAGTTAATTTCAGTTTTTTTTTATTTTTTCTTTAAAACTACTTTTAAGAGTAAATTTTTAAGCAAAATAAAAGTAATGTGAATAAGTTTGAATTTTTAAGCAAAATAAAAGTGTGTAATCTGTTATAGGCATAATGCCTATAACAGAACCTCAGACCTTTAATCTGCAAAGCTACTCTTGCACATAAGCACTCAACCATCAGGGTCTTTGAAAATTTAATTAATTTTAATAATGTGTATGTTATTGAAAAATTTTAAAGAATTAATATGTATGTTACAGAAAAATTTTTAAGTCCAATTTACATGTAACTGAAAAGGCATAATGTTGTTTTTAAGGTCTGTTGTTTTTTATTGGCATTCAGGCAATATTGGTGAGTCTAAGATTGTGCATTCTCCTTTGCGACTTTGGTTTTTAACTCATAAACAATTTCAATAAAAACTATAATGGCTATTTTTTATTGAAATTTTCATGGAACTTTCTCTATAGACCTTATCATATTATACTTTATTATACCCTCTTATTTTAAGAACTGGTAGGTGAAAAGTATATATAAGATGTCAGTGTATGAGGAAATAAAGGCAATATGTGTGTATATTTGTATGTACGTAATATACTCTTTTGCATCCTCTGGAAATGTTAAAATGCTAAATTTTTATTTACCTTTTTGTGTTCTTTACTAGATCGCATTAATTGAATTTATTTATTTATTTTAAATAGGGAAAGCCAAGAGGTGGAGGTTTTTTCAAACAAGCAAAAAAATCTTACCCAATGTTCCCAATTAAGGAAGAGAAAATTAAATGGGATGATTATGGTGAGATAATAAAGTAAGTGCTATCAGAAAGTATGTTGCTAAAAGGTATACTTTTAAATATATTTCATATACTGTATTTGACGGCATATAAGACGCACCCTTATTTAGAAGGCCCCACACAAGGAAAAAAAGTTTCAATAGTCTGCACGGTACCACAATAACTTAAAATATGGTTTCTTTCTCTTTCATCCATATTTCCTATTTGACCAAGAGGCCCACCAGCGCTGAGCGGTAAAGTCGCTGAACACTGGTAGTTCGGTCCGAGGTTCAAATCCGCGACGGGCTGGCTGCATTGGTGTTTTCGTGGTTTTCCCCCATGTGTAACGTGTATAGCCAGTTTCCCTTACAAAGTCCTCCACGAAGGCATCCCTCCCTTAGGCAGATAGCCCTAAGGTTTCCTATTATAACCTAACCTAACTATTGACCGGCTCAAAAGAAGTTGTCTTGCGTGCCTTTTATACAACCTATAAAACTTGTATTTTTCTTCATAATCTACTGGCATTTTCCGTCAATTTTTTTTTTTGCACCTGAAAAGCTTGCCTTCATAACCTGTAGCACCACCCTGGACCTGAAGTTCTGATTTCCTGTTGTTTCTGCATCCTTTGGCCTCATTAATATCATTTTTGTTGAAACCTTATCCTAGTTTCCTCTTACTATCACCCACATTTTTACGGCATTTTCAAGTTCAGGCCAAGATGGAGCTGGGCATCGAAGGTTATGTTTTTGTTTTTTAGCTGTCTTCAGTTAATCTTCCTGCAGTCGCCAAGTACGTATCATTTTTCCGGTAGGTGGTAGACCGAAATGCCTTGCTGCTGCTCTGTTTCGATGCACTTTGGTGTAGTTTAACACTCCTAGTTTATACTGAATTGTATAGCTAATCTCTTGATTCCTGTAGTCATATTTTCCAGGGGGTTTTTTTTTAAACAAATAATTTTAAGCACCGATACCGACACATGTGTTGGCTGAGTCAAAGACAGTCTATGTAAAGAAGGAGAATGTAAGGAGATAATGTAAGAATGTAAAGAGAGCTAGGTCAAACCTCTGTAAGATAGTGAACATCTAAAAAGGAATGAATTGAATAATATTCTATTAAGTTTTAATTTTATATGAATTATAACAATAACTTTAAAAAAAATCAGATTTGTCTTATTTTTAGCTAGAACACTCTGTAGTGTGTAACTTTGCTTGTTATTGATAATGAACTGTGTTAAGCTTTGGTAATTGCTGAAGAAAAATTAGTTTTCTTCTTGTGAATTAAAATTTGCAATTAGTAATTATAATTCGTTGTTAGCTGGTCTTATCCTAGAAATAAAATTAATCATGCTAACTTTATTTTGATTTATCTGTGTCAGTAAAAAAATGTTTTCTAAGGTTTTAAAAAAAAAAAAAAAATTATTTGAGGTGATTTAAAAAAAACATTTTTTTATGAAGTTGAAATCTGATTTTATGCAGATGCATAATTTTTTGATTCAGAACTTCATACTTCTCATTAAAGGAATGAAAAAATGCATTATTAATTGTTTTTTAATATTTATTGCTTTTCTAAAATTTAAAAAGCAAGATGTAAAAATAATCAACGTAAATGAATGTATTTAATTATTTTTAAGGTAACGAAATAGTAATTGAAGTAAAAATTACTAAGTATATATGGTGCTTATTTTTTTCTTCCTAAATATCAAACCATATATTTATTATATTACTATTATATTAAATAACCATATATTTATCACCGGTATTAGAAATTAGACCTTAAATGTCAAGTGGACTTCTGCAGTGCAAAATAAATCTGAAATATGTCATAATAAGAGAAAATTTCTTTAAAAGGAAGAAAATAGATATTTAACATGTGTGTTTAATAGTTTATAAATTTACAAAAGAGAGTATTTTTGTTGTGAATTCATTAAATCAAAATATAAGAATTGTATTAAGGGCACATATTATTTCTGCTTTAATAAATTATTACACAGAAGACTGTTTAACCAATATAAATAAAAATAATGTTCTTACCAACTATTAATTTATGAAGAAACAATTAATGCATAGACATATAAAGAAGTCCATATTTGTCATACTCATACTATATTATAAAAATTGTTGCAACAACGAAATATTAAATTTGGATGGCAAAAGAAAATTTTAAATTTTACTTACAAAGGAATTGCAGCAGACTATACATCAAATGAAGCCATCAAAATCTGATTCTTCACTATCTGAGTTAAAAAGATTGAGTAAATCCTGAACTAAGTCTTCTAGATCGTCACATTCATCCTCTTGGTTTACAGCCTCTTTATCTGAGGATGTAATATCAGCTTCTTTGAATGCTGCTATTGACAATGTTTTCACTGATTTCCACACACTTCCTACCCGTTGCAACTTCTTCATAAGATGCTCTACGCATTTTGCAGCTTTTGGTATACGTATGCAACCCTTTGCTCATCCAACACTCCCACCGCTTGCGAACTTCAGCTTTGAAGGATTTATTACCTGACAAATCTAATGTTGTAGAGTTTTTCAACCACCAGACATATGCTATGTTAGACCGTTTTGACATTGGTTTTCACTTCTGAAGTAATGAGCATGCATGTAATCATTATCATAATCCTTTGGTTGGGAAAAAGATTCCTTACACCGCCAACTTTTTGTAGCCACTCTGCTGATGTTCGCACATCCAGCCATTCTTTTTTCACAATACTTACGTCATTAGGAAACTCCCTTTGAATATCTTTGTTTAAAAATATTCATCTCTTTGCTTTCACCATGGCGGCCAGCTACACACATTAAATGAAGTTCTTTCATGCCCCGTCGTAAGCACAGATACAATTTTTGCACCATTTCATCAACAGCTCTGTTTTTAGGAGAGTCGAAAGCTAATGCCGTTTCTCCATATTATTACTGTGACCGAAAAGTTTTTTTTTTTTTGTCAAATAGCTCACATATTTAGAAAGTTGCTTTTATCTGCCATCCTTGGTGATTGTTGCCCTACGTTTGTTCTAGTATCACAGAAAGATATATATATATTAATTTTTTCATAAATCTGGTACACCCAAACCCTCTTGAAATCATTTCGTTCTTTGTTTTGCCATAAATTTTTGCTTGTAAGCAATTGTTTTACATCTAAATTGCCATTCCCTTTCCTCATTGCTCCTTTATCCAGTTCAAAGTCCTCCTCTAGATTTGGCCCCTTACAGACCACTTCTTTTGGCTCTTTTCTGTTTGACATATTTTAGTTCCTTCTTTCAGTATCCTACGTCGAATGCAGCTCTCACCCCCACTTCAAACTCTGACTGCTGCTCTATTTCAATTTATTCACAGCGAATTACATTAACCTTAAAACCAGCACACACTTCTGGCTGTGAGGTGGCCATTTTCAAAATTTTTCGCTCCCTTTTACTTAAAACTATCCAACAGTACTTGTCTCAAACTGATGGATCTGTATCTGCGAATGCCAAAAAAATTGTTCTGCTGAAGGGGAAATATGTCAAATCCAAAATTCGTTATTGTAAGGCAGGTGGTGTCCACCTTTGAAAACAATTGAGAAAAGGCAGGGGGTGGAAGAGATGGGTCCTGGAAGATTCATCGAAGGCAGGAAGAGAGACTATTCAAACTGATGAGAATGTGATTTTTGAAAGAGGAAAGTGTTATTGTTCGGAGATCCCGTTTAGGGTGAACAAGGCACATAGGTTCGTTCAAGGGAAAGAATGTAAACAAAATAAAGTTCGCAGAAAGCAACTGAGTGGTCTTTTATGTGGGAACAGTACCAATCTATGTGCAATGACAAGGTCATCCAAACTGTGTACAGTATCAAAATCATTCAAACTATGCACAGTGACATTATAGGAAATACTTTTTCTTTTTAGTACACCTAAGAGCCACATGGGTAGAAACACTGCACCCGTTGAAAATTTAAGTTTTAAACATCTAAACGCCACAGCATTTCTTTTGGAAATTACGGTATTTCTTCTATTGTTTAGCTTTTGTGTGAAAGATTTTTTTAAATTTTATTTTATTTTACCAGGTTTTATTTTTTTTACCAGGTCTTAAAAATGTGTTATTTCAGGAAGAATTTGTTTTATTGTTCGTAGGTTAGAAGATTATATGATTTTAGAACCAACAAATCTTGAAGAAGAAAATAAGGAGAACAAAATGGAAAATGATGACAGTGTTCAAGGTAGTACATTTTTTAAATAATATGATATGTAATTATCAGGTTAGTTCTAAGTTTTATGTTTTATTATTATATATATGTCAAAGAGTTGTTGCATGTGCTATAAAAATTTATGCATAAAACTATTAATATTTCTATATAAAATATATTTTATATTTAAAAGTATTAAAATATTATATATTTTTAATATCAAGCTGGTACATTGGGCATTTAAGTCTTCTTTTCCATTAACAGCAGTCTAATGCCATTTGCTTAGCTGTCAGCAACCATGGCATTCAACTTTTCCCTCTCCTTACCTACCATTTTTTAAGTCAATAGTGGTCTGCTTTGTAGGCCTTGTCTTATTAAAATCAAATACTAGTGCCACTCTTGTAGCTTCTTTGGTTGAAATTCTTAATATGTGTTATATCTAAAATACATCTTGTGCATTTAATTTTTTCTTATTTGTTTATGCATGTAATTTGGCATTGAGAATTGTATGTATGGTTAAAAAAAAAAAAGGCTATCTAATTATAGACAAATATTTTGTGAGGAAGAATAGATTAATTTTATAATAATAGGAGATTACCTTTAAAATGGCTTAAAGTCTCAGTGAATTCATTTGAACGAAACGTGTCTGTCACCCTCATTAACCTTCTAAAACCGGGCCGAAATTCTCATAATATAGCCTTCAGACCGGCACGATCCAAAACAACGTTTGCTCCCTTTTAAAAATTTCCTAAGTTAAGTCCTATATCATTAGTCCCCTTTCCATGGCTGCAGTAAAATTTACATGTTTGTCAGATGCTGTTCCATAGCAGAAGAGTTGCTAGATATGCGATTTTTTCGATGATATTTTGTGATTAAATAGTTCTAGTTAGAATAATGTCTGCATGTTATATTTCATTTACTATTTCGATCAATCTCGCAATAATTTGGAATTTAATACTTTGTTTTCACACTCATTATATTGCATATTCGTTTAAAATTAAAAACGAAAACAAAATTTTACAAAATAAATAAATAGGAACTAGCTTATAAGTCCGCAGGTTGGATGCGATTTTTAATAAACATAATTTCATAACAAAAGAATGTAATTACTCATTATGAAATAATATATAAATTCAATAACAATCTATTACTATTATGATTAAATGAGATTCAATACAATTAGATTGGATTGACTCCGCAATATAAGCTTTACATAACATAACAGACTCAATCGCTTTTTGATAATTTGTTATATATATAAAAGAAAATCAGAGATAATGGTGCATTTCATCATTTAACTTAACAATATTATTGGACTACGGCAGGGAGGTTATGTTAGCAAATTTTCTTTGTAAAATGGATTTTATTTGTGTTAGCTGAGAAAAAGAAAAAAATCTTGACCTATACGCATCATCAAAATTTTACAGTACAGTTTTAAATTTATGAGAATTTATACGTAAATTTCCTTCCATAGACAGAAATTTCGCCTAAAACCAGCATTATATCAAAGGTTGAAGTCTATTTCTTTTCAACGAATTTCTATTGCACAAATTCTGTTTTCTATTTATCTTAGTTTCGGAAATGTTAGTAAATCTTTTTTTTTATATTTCTTCAGTACTGAAAACGATTGCCCTGGATATTTTAAAGCAATTAAGAAACTGTTACGCCATTTGCATAAGTACATCTTGTGTATTTTTATTTAAATGTAAATTTTCTCTTGGAAAAATAAAAAATCAGAACTAAGAACTTAATTCGGAGAAATAACTTCCTCGAAATGCAATAATTCCATCGAAATATGAAATTGTGGAGATAGTGCAATAAGCTTATTTATTCTTAAATAACCCCTCATATGCCTATTTTGTACTGTCATGAGAAATGTAGGTAGTAAATTAAACCGGTATTTCAAACTTTGTCTTATCAATTTTTTAAGAGCCCTTCGTGAGCGTAAGTGGCTGAAAACTTTATCTCACTTGTTGAATCCGCTAAAGTGGATCATGTTTTTGTGTAATGTAATACAAGCCCGCTCCCTTAGATGTCCCCCGTGAAGCATCCCGCCTTATACGGTAATGTGTGTGCTTTGAGTAATTCATTAAGCACCAAATTATCATCAAACCCGGAATGGATTGCTACTATGGATTTCATCAAGACTTAAAGGAGCAATTTGCTCTAAAAAGGTTTACACGAAAGCATCCATCCCCTTAAGCAAATAGTGTCCACGTGTTCCTTAATCCAATCCTAATTCTCATGCACTTAATAGTGAGTTCACATACACCTTATTACGGACAAAATAGCATTCCTGTCTTAAAAATTATATTTTTTATTAACTTGTTTGAATTCCCTTTATCTCTTGAGCGGTATAAGAATTTCTGCAAATTAAAACTGGCCGAAATTTTATGCAAAGTAACTTATGTTTTGATTCAATTAGAAGTATGGAGCTTTAATGAATTTAAATTTTTGGCAAATGCATCCTAAAGAGTCTAAAGATAAATTAGTTTTATTTAATTTACAATGAATGAAAATCATTCAAAGCAATCATTGAAGGAAATCATTGAACTCAATCATTGAATGAAAGAAAATCACAAAAACTATTATGTATGCAGTTGTCTCTTATTTATCTCCCGATAAATCTGACAAAATTGTCTACATAATCGAAGCACTTTGAAAGAGTTAACAGTTCTTAAGGGTTTTATGCATCCCACCAAAAAAAGGGTCAAAATAACATCTTATTATTCAAACGTATAAAAGGGAAATAAACGATAAAAGCGGTTCTACGTATTTTTTAGGAGGGCAGTAAATCTAAAATATTAATTTAATCTTATTTGCTATGATTAAAAAGCATTAAATCTGGTATGTTTAAACAGCATGCAAAATTAATGACGTTTTAATCATAGCAAAAGTTAGTACTAAAAAGTTAGCACTAAAATTATTAGACAGTGCTCTAACGTTTGAGAAAGAGACGGCTTCTACACTCAAAAGTCGTTAATTTGGACACCCATAATCCAGAATGATCTATAATCCGGACCTCAAAGCTACAAACTTTCTTGCGTCGTTTACACATGCGCATAAGACCTTTACGGCTGCGCATATGCATCTGCGCATTCGCATAATACGTTTACGCATGCGCGTTTAATGTATAACAGACGGTATAAGCTAAATTTCTAATTTCTATTCAGTTACTGTTGCAGATTGCGTTGTTTTCCTTAATCTTTGAATTGGATCCGGCTTATTATTTTTTGCAGACTGTTAGAGCAATTTATAAAAGTAAGCTTGAACTTTCGATTATGTCAAATAGAATTTCCGATTGGGCTTCCAAAGGATCTACAAAGCGAAAGTATGTTCGATTCATCAAAAAAAGTGAATTGCTGCAAAAAATGGATAAAGACATATCCTTTGTTTCTCTAACCTTTCCGAAATCTGTTTATCAATTTCATGCTGCTCTGCGGCGGGGGAAGGGGGGACGCCGTGGCGCGCAATGAATTGGAAGTTGATCTGTCAGCACTATCCTTATCTTCAAGGCAGATGTTTTTATGTTATTTGGCTTAAAATTTGTTACTAAATGTAGCATTTCATCTCGATGTACTCCGTCTTTGATATGATTTAAATCAAATTCCTCGTCATTATAATTCGCTTCCGATAGTGAAGAAAGTGACACAGAGAATGAAACAAAAAAAAAAAAAAATTCGATTGACAAATTAGTCGGTATTCTCGACACAGCAATTATAGGACTTGAACCGGAACTTTGTAACTGAAAGAGAAATTATGTCTGTTTATAGAATTAAAGAGAAAGTATTATCACTAAAACAAAGCAACGTAACAACTTACATTGTAAGAAATGTTTAATAAAGTAAACAAATAATATTAAGCTTTTTTTTTTTTTTTTTTTTTTTGTAAATTTTGATACCCTTTAGATCATAATTGTTCTTTATTTCATAAATTACTGTTTCATATTTTTAATTTTATAATTTCTGCATGCCATCTTACCAGATTTAAACTGATGATCTATAATCCGGAAAAATCAATAATCCGGAATCACCAAAGTCCCGACGAGTCCGGATTAACGACTTTTGACTGTATTTGATTTTCAAGTATATTGGTGCGAGACGAAGCCTGCGGTTTTTGCCAAAATATAGCCAAACTGATAAGAAGAGGGAAACAATGCATAGCCTGCAGCTATTCTGAGCAGCGACAATGGAACACCCAGATATCTAGAGATAGGCGATTCTCTAAAATAGGGAGGGAGTGACTGGTACGACAGTTGTACCACAGCTGGCGTTAAAGTCATTTTCCTGGTACAACTTCTGTACCGCCTGTTTTAGGAGATTAATAAACTTGGTTTAAGGCTTCAAAAACTTTTCCCTTGACAAATTCTGTTTGAAGCAATAAACAGAGAAGATTAACAATTTTTTTTGTTTTTTGTTTTGTTTTGTTTTGGTTTTAATTGTATTTTCCACCTATTTTCTAGTTTAAATGTAAATTTTATTTGGTATGTTTCTTTAATTTGTGTTTCACTAATTTACTTGCTTCACAATTGTAATAGGTCGACCTTCAAATATTTTAGCAGCATTATCTTTTTCATTTTAATTTTTGCGTTCTTGAATACTTATATGGAATATAATTCTGTTTGATAAAAGAATGTAATATAATATACAAGTGTATGTTTCTAGTTCATTACTTGTACTGGAACTAAAAATATTCATTTTCACAATTTGTTTCGTTTATTTTTGTTATGAACACTGACTTCTATTCTTGTGCAATTAATAAATGAATTATTTATCAATAAGGAAGGGTACTTTCTCATTATCCTCACTTCCACTGAAAAGTTAAAAAAGTATTCATAAGGCAACATAGTATGTCACCAAAAAAGTTATGTGGCAACCCAAGGTGTCACCAAAAAGTCTATGTGGCAACTCAAGTGCATTCATCTGTGCAGCTTTGGAATTAACCATTTTCTGATTAGTGCTTCTTTTTGTATTGAGTATATTTGTTTTTCTTGTAATGGGAATGTGGTGTTTGTTAGCTGATAAATAAGAAAGTGTCGCATTTTTGCAAAAATATGGCATTATGTCCAACTATAAAAAATGCAGAAATTTGCACTCTTTGAAGTTGTACTTCCTAATCAACTAAATTTTATGGAAATGCAATCTGAAAAATTGCAAGCAGAGTATTGGTTTGAAGATAGCCATATCGTATTTGCAAGAGCTATTTGCTTTTTTCGTTCTTGGCACACTGCTGAAGAAGTTTTGTGTTTTGCCGAATTTATGCAAATCTCTGATGTGTTTTTTAGTTAAAACAGATCAAACGTGGAGAACAACAGAAAAAATAAATAAATAAATAAATAAAATAAAATAAAGAATGATGTCACAAAAAGGTTAGGGTTTTATTAGTGTTTCTTGCTTTTCTAATTTTATTCTTTGCTCTTTTATGGAATTCCTAATAATGCACTGCCATTTTGAAAATGACTGTCGAAGCACCATTTGCACTTCAAAAGCAGGTTAGTATCGTAATTCTTACCGTAAACACAATTCAAGAAGATCACTTCAATATGTAAATAAATCAACTCATGAACTAACTCTTTACAGAGTTTATTTACAACATATTAGCTATTTTAAATTACTTTTAAAACAAGAGTTTAAAATTAAAATTACCAACTCAGTTGGTTCTAGAAACAATTCTCAAAACAAAATTCAATGGAGTTGCCACAAGAAATATGCAAAATCAATGATGCACTTCAGCACTGCCTAATGGCCAAACTGGCAGTCACAACGACTGTTGTCTTTGGCATATTAGCTTGGCTAAAAATTTAGTTGCCAACAACTTCGCAGCTTTTTGTTGGGGGTGGGGATAATCACAAAGAGCCAAAAATAGTATTACATCATTTTGTATGTTATGCAGAATTATCATTAAGATGCATTAAATCACAATGTTGGTTTAATTAGAGAATAGATAACATTATGATTTGGTGAATCATAGGTGTTATAAGAGCTTAAAAATTACACTGCTCATCATTGAAAATGCATCACCAAGAAGGAGTGGTCAGAAAGTGATGAAATTTGGAAAAAAGACAGAGACAGCAAGGAACAATAATTGATCTTTATTTCAAAATGATAGTCAGAATACAGAGCGAGAACAGCGTCGGCTCAGTAGGATGTAGGACCGCCGCAGACAGCGATGCACGAAGAAGCACGTGTAGGCATAGAGTTAATAAGAGTGTGGATGGTGTCCTAAGGGATGACTCTCCATTCCCTTTCAACCATTTGCCACAGTTCGTCTTCTGAATGAGGCAGGGGCAGAGTTTGCAAACGGCGTCCAATCACATCCCACACATGTTCGATTGGTGATAGGTTAGGAGAGTACGGTGGCCAGGAAAGTATCTGTATACCTTGCAGAGCATGTTGGCATGTGCAAGCACTGTGTGATCGGGCATTATCCTGCTGAAATTTGCATTAGGCAGCCCCTGAAGGTAGGAGATTGCCACCAGCCGCAGTACATTATTCAAGTATCGTTGGGCCGTCATAGTGCCCTGAATACGAACTAGAGGTGACCTGGAATCGTAGGCATTAGTGCCCCAAACTATTATGCCACGTTGTCGCGCAGTGGGGCGTTCCACAGTTACTGCCGGATTAGATCTGTCTCCACGTCAACGCCACAACATATGAGGCGACTGTCACTGGATAAACAGAAGCGTGACTCATCTGAGAACACGACGTTTCGCCATTCTATCATCCACATCGCTCCAGTCCTGTACCATTCTAAACGTTGTCAATTATGCTGTGGGTTCAGTGGCAGTCTTCTTAACGGACGCCGTGAGTGCAGGCCACGTTCAACCAATCGACGGGTAATGGTTCTGGTTGACACTGGAACCATCCAGGGTATCTTGCACATGCTGCAGTTTCGCGGTACAAGTGACTTGTGGGACCGCCACAGCTTGTCAGTGGATGCGTCAATCCACGTGTGCTGACGTCACTCTGGCTGCACCTGCACCCCTCCTTCTTCCCACATTTCGTTGTTCCAACCATGTTCGCCATAGCCAATACACTGTGCTCGCATCCATGTGGGTATCAGCTGCGATTTGACATAAGGACGAACCCGCCCTTCTCAGTCCGATCACCATACCCGTCGTAAAATCGTCTATCTGCTGGAAGTGCCTTCATTGGTGGCGGCCTGCCATTTTCTCCTATTACATGTATCCTCCGGAACAAAAAACAACTTTCTTCAATAATTCGTCTGGCAGAAATAACGACACAAATATTGCCCATTCTGCATGTTCCTTCCCTTATATCTTACTTCACGTGCATCGAGAGCTGCGCATTTCACATCATTCGCATAACTTGATGACGTGCGTCTACTCTAAAATTTGCATAAATAAATTTCTGACCACACCTTCTTGGTGTTGCATTTTCAATGTCGAGCAGTGTATATTGATACATATATCCACTTCTCTATGCTTCCTAATTAATCTGCAAATCTTGTTGAATCTTAAGAATTAAATTTTTGACCTGAAAGGTTCCCATTATATTTTATAAACTCTGGTGTAAAATTTCTTAGTTCTGTGTTTTAAATTCCTTTAATCCTAATTACATTATAACAAGCATCTGAATTTGAATACATAGATTAATGATTTCAGATATATAATAAAATATTATTGAAAAACTGTTTCCCCCTTCAAATTTGGGTAACATTGTTTTGATGTATTTTTAATTGTAAAGAAATTAATTTTATTACAATTATTATTTATTTTATTATTTGTATTAGATTCATGGCTGTGGTATTGCCATATCTTTATACTTCTGTTACATTATTTCAAGAAATAGGAGTTCTTTGGGAATATATATGCTTTTTTTAAAAGCAAGGTATCAAGATTTTTGGACGAATATATGACTTTTTTTTACTCAGTTCATATGTGAAGTGTGTTGGATTAAACATAAAATATTTATTACTTCTAATAATTGTACTGTTCTATCATTTTGAAATTTTTCAAGGATGCATAATTTTTCTCTTAAAATAAAGTATTTAATTTTCAATTATAGATATTACTGAATTACCTACCAAATGCATATCATACATGCAGACTTTAGACATTAAAGCTAGTGTACAGTTCATAGATTTTGAAGGCCGTTCTGATAGTGAATCAATTAAAAAAATACTCAGCATGATCAAGCCTCGTAGACTTATAATTGTTCGTGGACCCCCAGAAGCTACCGAAGCATTAGCAGCATATTGTGTATCTGGTGTTGTTCAGGGCAAAGTATTTACACCTCATCTGTTGGAAATGGTTGATGCTACAACAGAAAGTCATATTTACCAGGTGCAGTATGCTAAAATTTCTCCTATACTTACTATTAAAACATTAAAATATGATTTAACCGTAAATGTTTTTTTGGGGGGATGTGTTCAGCAGAATTCAGGTAATTCATGGTCACCAAGTTTGTGCTTATTTTTGAATACTTTGGATATGGACAAGCAAAATTTCAATTTAAAAAAAAAAAGTTATTTTAGACATATTTGATGCCATTCCTTCCATATATATGTATATGCAAATAATCTTATCATCAAAAATGCTGTATACTTATTACATATTTTGATTGAAGAAGCATATTTATATTATCACTGAAATTATACAGCATTTTCTTTGTATATGTCAGTGTTATCTTCTAACAGTAACCATATAAGATATTGCCTTCCTCCTTTTCGCATGCCTTGTTGGTGCAATTGAAAGCATAATCAATATGTGATATTTTAAGTCATGACTGCAAAATTCATGAAAAAATATCATATATGAAACATTCTGTAAAAAGAAACTGGAGATTACTGCTAGGAATAGTAAAGGTGATTTTTCTCTACAAAGAAATATTAGTGGAACAAATATGATTACTGAACTTAATATATATCTGTTATCAAATTTTACCCAAACAATGCAAAGAGAGCAAAATATTCATTTTAGGCTTGCTGTTGTGAAATCCTGTTTTTTATAAATAAATGCAAAACAGAAACTATAATAATGTCAGGAACGTGTAGAATAAATATCAGTAGAAAAATATTCTGTTATCTGATTATGTGTGGACCTTCATACTATTCCTTACATCAGTAACAGCCTATCCATAGAGATGGGAATGCAGAAAACGCTCTCAAAATCTCACAATTCAAACTATTTACTTCTTACAATAAAGTATATAAATTCTGGGTACTTACGTATTAATGCCGCAGCAGTTGCAGATTTGGCGGTTTTTAAGTGCCACCAATCTACATCTAAAATTGTTGCGACAAATCATAAATTAAAACACTTTATTTAAAATCAAAGTAGTCAATGGGCCGAATTAGAGTTTAACATAGATTCAAAACAGTCTCTATTTTCTTTGACCTGATGCTGTTGCCATATGAACTCTGCTAAATAAGATTCTAAATGATGTCTTGCTGTCCCCTATGTCTCTTGTTCCTCCATTTAGCATTGCCCCACATTCTCTCAACTGTTTGTGTATGAACTCCTGTATCAGGATCAATAAAATTGTATTTATGATTAACTTCAGCATGTAGGAATCCTTCTTTTTTTATTCTATTTGTTTGGTAACCTTTCCAACTATCAGAATAAATTGTGCTACCATCTGATAACTGCGTGCGAACAACAGGATTGCTCTTTATTGGCGCAATGTAAGTGCAGTGGTGTTAATACGTAAGTACCAAATTCTGTTATATTTTTATCTGTTACATCATGTTATAATATCATTATTAAAAGAAGAATGACTAACTTTGAGACCATTTTGAAATAACATATCTGTAAAACAGCACAACTGTATGATTAGTTTTCCATTTATTTGCGTATCCATAGAGATGGGAATGGCTAAACCTTGTTTAAGGAACATGATTATCAAGTTTCTTATCTTAAGCCTCCAGAAGCTGATTGTGATTGTACTGTCCTTGTAAAATGAGCAGTTTGAAAGTTCTCTCGAGAGGTTAGTGGTGGGGGAAGTGAGGTACTGGACACTCAGATGTTCTCCATCAAAACTTGGATGGAGTTTAGGAAGATATCCTTAGCATGCTTTGCAAAAATAAAATAAATCAAACCAAACTTCCATGCTTTACAATAAGATAATGTTTTTCTCATGTGGTAATATCTGCTGACATTAGCTGACCAGTGGTCAATTAGCTGCATCCTGTATTCATCTTGCTTTTCTGAGACGTTTTGCAAGTTTTCTTATGAAATAATATTAATACAACATTTCACCTGTTTCTTTTCAAGAATATTTCTCCCAAAGTTATTAAATCATGCACATATTACCATAACAAACAGATTTTTTCTATTTAATGAATATCATAATATTTGTTTTTATATAATGAGTACTGTTATACTTTTTTTGTATAGTAATAGAAGACTTTAAAAGTAGAATGATGTTAGAAATAAAATTGTTAAATATCTTTTAATTTGGGGGGGGGTAGGTAGTTAAACTCCTGCCTTTTGATTTCTAACTTGATATTTATTCATACTGCCTAGGAAATATTTTAATATCTTTTAATCTCTGTATTATATTTAATTAACTGCCTTTTAAATTGCTTGGGGTGTTTTGGGTATATCATTTGGTTTCAGGTTTAACATATTTTCTGTACATTATTCTCAATTATAGACATTGAATTTGATGTACTTATCTGTAACCCAAGTCCTTATTTACACAAAATTTCTGTCCTTATTTACACAAAATGCTAAGTAGTAATTTTTCTATGATTTCTGAATATTAAGCTATTTTTCTTTTGGAGAGTATATATTTTGGCATTTAAATTTTATCTGTTTTTAATCTTAAATTTTACTTTATTTGATCTTTTAGGTAAAATTAAAAGATTCCTTAGTTAGCTCTTTGGATTTTGTGAAATCTAAAGATGTTGAACTAGCTTGGGTTGATGGAGAAATAATTCTGGAAGAGGATATTGATGAAATTGTTGCCAAAGATGCTGAGAAAGAAAAAGATGATGATGAAATAAAAGGTATATCATGCATAAATTTGATATGTATATATACAATCATACTTCCATTCTTCTGATTCAGTATCTGCAATTTTAGCTATCCACAATTTACATCTCCCTATCCCCACCTCCTAATCAAAAATGCATATTAAATTAGAATGGATGTAACACTGCGAAATACAACTCACCAAATATGTTCAATACTGTCTTCCATCCCAGTAGACCATTTTAAATAAGCAGGAGAGACTAAAAGGGAGTGCAAAATCTGTGTATGTCCACACAACACAAATAAAAAGACTGTAAAGGAAAGTTAAAGCAAAAAATCATTACATATATATGCATGTGTGTTCTGTGATAAGCTGATCACTTGTTCTTGAGCCTTGTGGCATGGGATACTGTGCTGCTGGAAAATTCCATTTCCAGTTGGGAAGACAGATGCCATATAAGGGTGCAACTGGTCTACAGTTATGTTCAGATGGTCTGCAGCTTTCATGGTCTGTTTTACCACAACTAAGGATCCCAGATCCACCCATGAGAACATCCCCCAAACATAATTCCATTACCATTAGCCTGTGTATGACCTGCTATACAGGAGGAAGCAACTGTTTGCCTGGAAGGCAGCATACCCTGACACGACCACAGCACCGGATTTAGCATTTTTCCTAGGCGGGGCAAAAACTTAAAATTGCCGCCCTTATCCATCTCCCTTTAAGTTTCTGTAACAAAGTTTAGTTTTTTAAATAAACATAGAAATATGTAGTTTTCAAGATAAAATGTAAAATCCATTTTATAGTAAGAAATTCTTTACGTGCAATTTTTGTTCTAAAAGAAATATACATAACAAATGGTTTAGTTTCTTTACTTATAGCAAAGCATAAGAGAGCTACCTGCCTAAGAGGGAAGATGTCTTAGCTGAGGTCTTTCTAAGAGTAATTGGCTCATATGCAAATTATGCGTGAGTGAAACGGCGGAAACACCCATGCAGCCAGCTAATTCACTTGATTCTAACCCCAGACCGAACTACCAGTGTTCAGACTTTACGTTTCAGTCGTTGGTAGAAGAACATACTAAAAGTTACATAATTAAAAACCCGTGCATACCTTATTGATGCAGTTACTTCTCCAGGGCACTGAAATAATCAAATTTACATTTCCCTTGAAATGGGGATTTTTTCCAATATTTGCAAGAATACCTACTCATAAATGATGCTAATAGAAAACGATTCAGAACTAAATATTAAAATAGCTCAGCACAGCACAAAAATGGGAATCAGACATTACTAAATAATAAAAAATTTCATTTAAACAAATATAAGCAAATTACAAATCACTAATACAATGGATCGAATAATTTTGTACCAATTTCTCGATACTAATAGTAACTTTAACCTAGCATGTTAAATATTCATTTCACAATAACGCCTTCATGTAGCCTACTCAAGAACTCAACTATCATGCACTCTCTGTGGAATTCAAATATTTCGTGCTCGGTTAACCTTTCTGAGCTTTTTTCCAATTAGTGAATCCTGTAGTACACAATGCTAATGTAACGGCAGTGGCATGTTTCTGGTAAATCTCACAGGGTGTACAAAAATTGCATTTTTAGTTTTAGAATATATAAGCCAAGATCTTTTAAGCCCTTCATTATTTGCTAATGTTCTGTACCACAATGAAGATGTCAAATGTTTTCCATTACGTTCAGTGTACCTAAGGTCTACGTTTTCTGGATATTTTTCGGCTAATAATACAGCTTGACTGCTAAGAAAGATCGTTCATTTTTTCTGTGATTGGCCAACTACCTGGGTCCGACAAATCAAAAGATTTTAAGTCTTCTTTCTGCTGCCCACACTTACCTAAATGTGAAAATACTTTATATTCTAATTTCATGTCCTCTAGATATTCGTTTGGGGTCTATAAAGAAAGTTTTTCTCTCAGTTGCTGAAATGAAATCTGTTTAAGGAGGATAGGTGAAGATTCTTCATCTTGGTCATGCAAATTGCAAGGAATATCAATATCATTTAGAATCTCGGCACCATTGGAAATTGCGCAGGGTCTGACGGTTCATCTTTTCCGTGAAGCCATTTTTAATTTTAGCTTCAATTTGTTTTCTCTGTCCGGTCCTATGATTTCTTGCACTCTAAATAATATACAGTATAACTTGCCTTACTAAGAAAAGCTAAAAATTGACGTAATTACATTGAACAGTAAGGAAGTGTCGCGGATGCGTGCGCTAACTAAATGTTTGCGTTTCGCTAAATACAGTGAGGAATACTAGAAGCAGACATGTTAAAAGAAAATGAGACAAAAAATAAAATAAAATAAAATAAAAATAAAAAAAAAAAAACTTTATAAACGATAAAAATAATAAATCCATTTTTTAAAACCTAGGTTGCTGACTGGCTGCAAAAAATCAAAATGCCTTACTTCATTTTTGTTATATATTCTCGACGTACATTACTTTGAATTATTTCATTGGTCCAAGGTTAATTTGTGTTGGGTGTTAGGAAAGAGTTACAATTTACTCCATTTATTTCATTAGAGGCGTTGGTATAAAAATAAGGCGCCTCTATGCTATCGTTCTGTTTTTTATTTGAATATTCCCGCCAGGAGAGAGGACAACAGAGGGTTTTTAGGCAAAGAAGTTGAAGGGAAAGATATATAGATTCTTTGCTCTAGGCGTCACTTACAAGGGCCAAAGACCAAGGCGTTTAGGGAGTACCTTTGCAATAAAAGTACATGTTGGGTTGGCAGAGGAACAGGTCCTTTGACTTTTTCAGTGACGCCTGGAGTCCCTCTATTGTCTTCTTCCCGATCTTAACTTTAGAGTCGTGTTTGGCTGTACTTAGCTTACTTTTAAAACTGTTTGCTCCATTAAAAGGTTTAGAGTAATTAATTATAAATATTCTTGAAAGAAGTTTTACACCTTTTGCATCAAAATTTGACAACATTCCAAATACAATTTTTGGGAGTCACTGTATGTTTTATCTGCCGTCATAAGCCATGACTAAACATTTTATTGCTGTTTATCATGGAGAGCAGTTCTCGAGAGCATTCAGTTCAATTTTTTTTTCGTTTCTGTTATCAGTATTCTGGATACCTTATGATGCAGATCTTCAACATTTGAGCTTTTAATATAAGTTTTTTTTTTTTTCTATTGGTTCGTTAGTAATTTTAACTGATGCACAATTCCCCATCAATGTAAGAAATTGTCACTTCATCTATTTTCCATCAGGCATTCTTTGACCTTAGCACACATTTCTTTTGTGGTCCCATCCACATCTGTGATTTGATGATCATCATCTTTGAAGGATGCTTTTCTTTATCTAAACATGGAGCCTATGTTTTGAGAATGGCATAAAAAGGACCTGTGTCACCAAACACTGCAACCATATGTTCATGAATATTTATCATTATTATGCCTTCTTTTATTAAGATCTCAATCACTGAACCATGTTTGATATTTTCAATATTAACAGACACCATTGACATAAAAATTTAACAGTCTCTCAGAAATTAAGTAATAAGACCTGCTTGTTTATTTTCCTTTTCATGCTGGTAAAAGATGAAGGATTCATGTCATCATGTTATCCTTTGTAAATGAGTATGTTCAGTTTTTCTCTTTTATCAAATTTAATAGAAATATCATAGTCAGTATTTCTTTAATCATTTTGCTGCTATGATAGTTTTCTTCTTTAAAGAATTTTTTTTGTTTTTGTTGAATAAGGATAAAAATAGTACAGTAGGACCTTAGTTCAGGAATTTAATTCATTCGTGAAAGCTGTTCATGAACCAAAATGTTAGTAAACTGTAACAGATTTCCCCATAGAAATTGCTGTAAAATGAAATTAATTTATTCCTGGGATGTAAATGATTGCTTATTTAAACTGTACAACAGTACTTTGTGCTTAAGTTCATAATCCAAAATCACTATTGATATGGAAATATGAAACATAAAAGATAAATACAATATTGAACAGATAAAATAGATGAAAATGTAAATCAATTTTACTGTACATGTGTAAAAAAGAGTGAATGGCTTAACCCTTTGACGCGCGGTGGTCGCGCCCTAAAACCACCAATTTTCGAATTTTTTCTCCTCTTTCTTCGGAAATTTATGAGTGAAAATAAATTGATTACTGATCTTTGATCTCTAAATAACACAAAATGACTACAGAATCATACATGTTTTAGGTCTTAGTACTTTAAATCAGATGCCTTTTAAAATTCGTTTTCAATGAGACAAAATAACTTACTTTTATTAATATAAACAACTTTAAATTTCAAAAGTTATTCATCGCACATCATGATTTCTATCATAAACAATAAAAAATAGCAATAATTAAACTGCATATATATAAAAAAAAAACCTCTATATGTATGGCATTTGCTTTGTGGTTTCAGGGCGCGACCCACAATGCTCTAGAGCAGGGGTCGGCAACCTGTTTGTCCTTAAGGGCACAATACTAAATTTGAAAATCACCGAGGGCGCATATTTTACAGATAATCAACAGGTATAAATAGGCATTAAAAAAACAGATTTTTTATAACTTTATTTTGTTGGTGTCATACATAATGATACATATAATTCAGTGTGAAACTTGGGTGTCCATATTTTCAGCTAATTTCTTATAGAGTTCCCGGTCCTTAAACAATTATCTAAATGTGAGTCATTAAGCTTTGTTTGGTATTTTGATTTCAAATATTTCATATTTGAGAACAAAGACTCGCAATTGTATGTTGTTGCACAATATGAATAAATTTTTAGCGCACATTTCCTTAAAATAGGATACTTATTTTCATCGACTAAGTTCCAAAACATTTTATCATTACTATGCGCTTTTAAAATAATATCACTTTGCAAGTTCATTATTTCTAATTCTAGGTTTTCGATATTATGAAGCTTGAAATACACTGAAACTATTTCAAGGACATCATCTTCAGTAACATTGAATGGATTTATGAAAAATCTTAGAACGGGTTCTAATGCTGCAAAATCTTCAAATCTAGAAGAAAACTTTCTATTAGCTTATCTATAATTTCTAAATATGATGTAGCAGTAAAATTTTCATTATTCAAATTTAAACTCTGAACAGTATATTTTATATTTGGGAAATGTGATAATGATTTTTTCAATAGATGAGATTTCAACAACACTAACTTGCATTTGAATGCATTTACTGCACTAATCATGTCAGCGATATGCTGATTTTTCCCTTGTATTTTTAAATTTAATTCATTCAACTTCGTCGTTATATCTGTCAGAAATCCAAGGTCGATTAGCCAATCCTTATTTTCTAATTGCTCATAAAATTCATCTCTTGATGCAATAATATTCCTTTATTTGTGGCAAAAGCATGAAAAACCGCTCAAGTATTTTACCTCTGCTCAGCCACCTCACTTCAGTATGTAAAAGAAAATCTGTGAACTGAATATCCTCATCATCCTAAAAGTATTTAAAACTTTTATATGATGCGATCGTTGCTGCTTTATGTTGTTGCAGTGGTTTAGTAAAAAAAACTTTGCTGGCTAGTTATTGAAGATTTTAAAGAAATAATTTTTTTTCTTCTAATTTCAGAGTTCATTGGATAGTTGCTATCAAAATTGGTATGAACGGTCTTAAAATGTTGTTCAGTATTACTTTTCTTGGGAATCGCAACACTATTATTACACAACAAACAAATACACTTCCCTTTGTAATCAACGAAACAATATAGATGTTCCCATTCATCGTTAAAATAATATGTTCTTTTTCTTTTGCATTTATCCATGAAGGGTTTTGAAAGAAAACAATTATTTCGGATTACTTGGTACTTTTAAATGCACGGTCTACGCGTGGTCTATTCGAAATACGATCAAACACCAACAAAAAAATACATGCGTGTTATTAGATACGCTCAAGGTTAGCAAACTGCTAATCTATGCACAATCCTAAACTTAACTGACTACTGTCTAACCACGCTAGCGAGAGCAGTTTGGCTGAGAGCCGAGATGGGTCAGTTTAATTGAAGGGGTGTGTGGGCGAAAAGCGTGGGTATTTTTCCCTCTTGAAGGTCGAAGGGGTGTTGGTGAAATCGAAGATCAGATGACATTTAGTGTCTACCGGGCTACTGCACTCACCCCTACATAACTGATAGATATGCTCACTTCCGCCCCAAACCGGATGTTCACATAGATCTGGAATACGTGGTCAGACAGTACTTGCTGTATATCGTCATTTGACAAGAGTAAGTAAATTGCTCTGACTATCATACATTTACATTAGTCCAGCGAGGGTGCATTAAAATTTGATCGGGGGTGCCGCGTTGCCTACCCCTGCTCTAGAGGCTTGGTGGTCGCACCTTGAAACCACTGCTCTTTACAATGGTGTTTGCTTACTTCTCAAATAGGAATGTTTATTTTCACCCGGATATAGATAAGGGGTTTTGAAATCACAGAGTTATTTTATTAATAAACAATACACGCACCTGCCCAGTAGAAAGGTCTTTCTTTTCCAGAGACTTTTCTCTGACCTCAACACACTTGCTCCCCAAGCTAGTATTGTGATTTTATAAATTATTTCCTGTGGTTTAAATTTAATGTAAATATACTTTGCTGTAATTAAAAATAGAACTGGTGTAAAGTTTTATTTAAATTAAAAATATTTTCTGAATATTATGAGACGAAATACGAATAAAATAAGTATGAATGGGAAATGAATGATCCTTACCAAAGCCAAAAAGACCAAGCCCTCCCCCTCATTAACATAAAAAAAAAAAAAAAAAAAAAAAAAAAAAAAAAACCCACAAAAATTCATGTACCAGATGAAAAGAAACTAAATAATGCTGGACATAAACCGGGGAAATTTAGATCCAATCAGTATACATTTTGTAGCACAAGGAAGAAACATCATGGAAGATATATGTGCGAAACATGCAATGTGTATCTATGCATGTACTAAAAAGACAAAACATGCTTTGAACTGTGTCACAAAAAATATTTGTTCTTTGAAATTAAAAAAAAAAAAAAAAAAAAAAAAAAAAAAAAAAAAAACTGAGTCTTTTTTTATCCTTATTTTACTGAGTTTTTTAATCCATGTAGCCAAACATCCTTATTATGTAGATACTTATACTTTCACTGCTATAGAAAAATTACATAAATGTTTATTTTTAAATTTTTTCTGACGATTTTGTTTGTAAAATAATGTAAAATATATATAATATGCAATTCTTACATACATTTATTTGTATTAAAAAATTCGTAAATTTCGTCATTTATTGGAAACGCGCACGGAAAAAGGTAAGTTTTTTTTTTTCCTACTACCTAGATAAGTTTCAAAGTCCTAGACGCCCGGTGGTTTCACAATGCGACCACCACCCACAAAACAATGGGCAAGAGTAGATTTTTTTAAATTCATATATTATTTGTCTCTAGGATCATAATATTCAATTTCTAGAGTTTTTAGTTAAAAAAATTATAAAAATAATATCGCGCGCGTCAAAGGGTTAAGTGGAAAACGATGAGGAAGGTGTTATTGTTTGAATGTGAAATTCTCTTCCATGGATTTTTATTTTATTTTACTTTGTCTTTATGTACGGTTCGACTTTGAGCATTTTCACTTAAAATTTATTCAGTGTGATTAATTGTTGATTATGTTTTATTAATTGTTGATAATGTTTCTTAATCCCTTGACATACAATTGCATCTGAGAGATGTCATTCATTTGATGTGTCATTGTAGACTTTGACGTCTCCGAGATGGCAAGAACTTTCTTTCACGAATATACCGCACAGTATATTATTAGGTTTCTTAACTGCTGCAGTCATGCTTACATACATGCTTGCTGCTGCTATGCTACTGCTACAGTCATGCTTGTCAGTTATCCTGTTCCCTATGTTTTCCCCATCTCAAAAGACAAATATCCTGTTTTGTAAGTTTCCCCCCTCTCTTTGTATGTCAAGGGGTTAAGTAAAATATGGCATAGTCATTGAAAATGCTTGTGGTTTGCTACTGCTATATCAAGTTGATAGCATTACATGAAGACTTTACACCTTACTCCATTTTGCACAGATTTTGTGTATCAGAATGTTACGATAATTTTCTTCTCCTCTTCGTTTGAAGAGGGGGGGAGGAATCTTTTGTGTGTTCTTCCACAATCAGCTTGTGTTGCTATATCTTGCTATGCTTCTTGTTTTCTTGCTGTGTCCTTTTGTGTACTATTTGCTTAATTCTTTTTAATAAAAATGGCTTCAAAAATTACATATTTTTTATTACATAGTTCAAACCTACATGTATTTGAGAGTATATGTAGCACTTTCCTAAAAGTAAATTTTAAGGATAATCATATAAAGAGAAAAATTCTGAAAATAAATCTTGATTAAATTATTTACTTTGTAGGATGCAAATGTAAAGTATGTATTCTGATGGAAATATTCAGTATTTATGCAAATTACGTTAAAAATTAAGATTAGTGTGGTAAATTTCAAAACAAGGTTCCAGACAAAGTCCTACATTACATTATTTGCACCAAATTTGCATTTCTCTAAGAACTTGGCTGTTCTTTTAAGCAACAAACAGTGCGTTGTCTGTAAGGCCATTTCCTCTTTTTTTTTTTTTTTTTTTTTTTAATGGGATTCGGAGATATGTGGCTTGCAAAATGATGAGCTGTGAATTTCAAACGGTTGAGATCAGAAATTCACAGTGTTTCCTGTATTGCCAAGAAAATGAAATGAGGCAGGAGCTGGCAGAATATTTTTCATATCTATTTCAAAGCACTGCCAGACATTTTAAATGGTTATTGAATGATTTGTAGATTCATCACTATTTGTAGATGAATCCACGAAATAACAATCGTTTCTTTTTTGCTATTTACAAAATAACTAAAATCACTTTCAATATCAGAAATACCATCAAGAACACATATTCTAACATTTACTGAACATTTCATGCTAGCCATATTCTGAATATAAAAACAAAATTAATAATGGTGGAAGTACTTGTAAAATCAATTAGTGAACTCTATGCAAATACAAAAATTTAGGTGACAATAATGTCATCTGTTTACCAAACATGATTAAATATTGTAGGTAATCGGTGATTAAACTAGGGAAAAGTAGGATGTGCTCTTAAGTACTGGGAAAAATTGCAGAATGAGCAAATTCTGTTACTTTTATGCTGCCTATGGAAATGGCAGGATAAGCAAGTCAGATTAAATAGTTTTAGTATTTCTTTCTTATTATTTTTATGGTCCTCTAATAGTTCCTTGACATCGTAATTAACTTCCTAGCCCATGATTTTTCCCTGAGACATAATATCTTAGATAGCAAAAAATGTTCTAAGCATCAAAGCACTCTGCCTCAAAGTCTCTGCCTGAAGTAATCCAATCTGGGCACTTTCTTCTAGGCTGAATTCATGGTTCTGTAAGTCACTTGCAACCAGGCTTTCTTAATGAAAGTTAAGCATTGGAAAATATTAAAATTATGTTTCCAGGAGTCCCTGAGTGTTAACTATGTGACATAGGTTACCAAAAGACACTGTTGAAAATCATGTTACCAACTTTAGTGTGTGTAATTCAAAACTCTGGTTAACACCTAAGGTGCTTTTTGTTCAGATAATTTGCTCATGAACCTAATTGTTTGTGAAGTTAGAAATTTTTAATCCAAGGTTGCACTTTGTATTAGTTCCATTAAATATCTCTTTCATTGCACAACATTTATAACAAAACTTCTGCAGTCGTCTGTTTCTGCGCTTTGTCTTGATGGCTGCATAAATTTTCACAATATATTGTTTATAAACCATTTGGTGTTTTTTTTTATACAATAGTTTCTTATAACTTTTCCAAGTTTATTATTTGCCCTTACATTTTCCGTCTCTTTTAGTTGTTACCGTGAATGTAGAAAGTTTGCTATAATTATCTTTTATCTTAGATCACACACTTTATTCGTGTAATACAATGTGACAATTTCAATTTTATTGACAGAATAATTTTGTGTTAAATTGCAGTATTCTCTTTTATAGAAGAAGCTGCAATAGAAAGAATTCCAGTTCTGCAACCACTTCCAGCCAATCAGGTAATTTATTCTTTCATTTTGCATTGAAGTAGAAAATCGGGTGAATATCGGTTGTTCGAGTTTAAACTTATGTTAAGTTTTCATCTTATGTGATTTTTTTCATTTATGCACATTTATTTCACATATTAATTGTTTCATTATAATTTTTAACACTGATCTGTTGATTAATTAGAGTACAGATTTACATAATGTTTCCTGGATTTTGTATATCTCAGAAAATTTGAATTCTTTTAAAACCTGGCAGCCTTTAAATAAATGTCTTAAACAAACAGTTGAAAGTAGTTTTCATAAACAGATTCAGAGGAATTTTAAACTGTTGATAATGCATTTTCATGTGGGAGCTATAGCGTCATTATATTTTTGTTTCAGATTATTGGTCACCCTACAATTTTTATTAATGAAGTGAAACTCTCCGACTTTAAACAAGTTCTGATGAGGCATGGCATTAATGCTGAATTCTCTGGTGGAGTATTATACTGTAATGATGTTGTGGCTCTTCGAAAAGTAAGAAATGAATACTATGTAGTTAGTGGTATTTATTAAAATGCAGTAAAATTTCATTAGTATGTGTTTGAAATAATATTATTCTACTAGTTCTTGGTCTAACCCAGCATTGTTGTTCAACAAAGCAAAAGGAATGCCTTCATGGAGGACGTTTTCTAAGGAAAACTGGTTCTTAATAATTCAGCATTTAAACATGAAAAATTATAACCCATAAATTAATCTTAATTCGTAAAACTGCAATTCTTACTGAACTTTCTTAGATATTTTTCATAGCCTTTTCACTATGTATTATTCATTTCATTAATCTGATTTTTTCAGCTATTTCCTTTATTATGATGTGAGGTAAATGTGCATTCAAATAAGAATTGTACTTCTAATTTTGATATTTCTTGATTAGTAATATAATACAGGCAAGAAACTTATTTGTGGATAGTGCAAAACTTGGTATCTTTCTGCGATACACACTTTTTAAAAATTTAATGAATGTTGATGCCACAGTGTCTTCCACTAACTACTCTTCAGTCTCACCAGAAGAGATAAACTGATAATTTTGTTATTGTAACAGCCTTACCATCCAACCATAAAGTGCAATACTTCTTTTAATCCTCTAAGGCAGGTATTCCCTTTCCCTTATCTTGCACTCACTCCTTTTAAAAGAATGGTTTTCTTCATCAATCTCCGTATGTTTTTCTTTATAATATACAGCATATAACACAATCATAGAATAAATAATTGCACATAAAAAGTTTAAAGATAACAATTAGACTAAGAATCTTTTGGGGGAAAAATGGTTTATTTCAATTATTACTTTTATTTATTTTATTTGATTATTATTATTTATTTTTATATTTTTATTTATTTATTATTAGTCCAAAGGGCTATTAATTTTGTTTAGGCATTTTGTGTTGTTCACTGAAAATGTTGGATAAAGAAATTAAATAATAAAGAATCTGCATAAATGTATGTATGTTTCAAGCATTGTGATAAAAAAACAGTACCTAGAGAAATCCAATTTTTAATACGTATGGGCATCTGGAAGCCCAAATTTAGAATTTGTTTTATTATCTATTTCATACTTTGTAGTTTTGATTAACAAAATCAACAATTTTATAGAGAGCAATGGTAACATTGTACGGGGGGTATATTTTTATCTCCACCGTGCGAGACTGTGTATCGGAAATTCTAAAGATATGCTCATTTTAAAATTATTTAGCGATACTGCTGTTGAACTGAATTTTATGGTCTAAGTGCGAAGAAAATTGTATTTAATAAATAAAGGACACACACAAAACGTTAGAAAAACGTCCCTTTGGGCGTAATGTAAAATCTGAAAGCTTTCAGATTTTTATATTTTTATTATTTATTTGATTTGATTTATTATTATTGTTTTTAATTTTACAGATATGAATAGTTTTCAGAAACAAAATCTAATTGAAAAAAAGTTACATTTTAATTGATGTAATAGCTACACTTAATGTGTTAAAGCAATGTTTTTTAAAATATTTGACATAATATTGCTTAACTTAGTTCTTAAGTAACCTCATTAAAAAGTATTCAGCAAATTTTTTATCTTCCGTAATAAATTATTGATTTGACAAAAGCCTGCTTCCACAGATAAGAGGAGAGAAGTCAATAAAATTGGTTTATATCTCTCTGACTTTTAAATTCCAAAATTTAGCATATCCATGTGTTTTGAATAAGATTTTTGCTTGTATCTTTCGTCAAAGCTATTGACTCTTCTTGCATCATAATATCAAGATCAGATATACCGCAGTTTTTTGGTTTATACCAGCCATGCTGTCACATTCAAATTTTCAGTGTCTTGGACATTAAAAAAGCGAACATTAAAATCTTTTAAATTTTGCAAGTGATTTGTATATAACAGTATATCTCTTGAGGAAATAGTGCTTTTCAGTAATGGACAAATGCATTAAGTTATGAAAGCAAGGGAATTCTTTTCGATTATGTGTTGATATAAAGAAATCAATTTGAGAATGGAAACAGAAGACAATCATTATGAGAGATTCAATGAGATTGATGTCTTTTCCTGTCAATTTCAAGAAAAAGTTTTATTTAAATATTAAAAATGTCTATAAAATGCTGCTTCCATATTTTACTTTTTTATATTGCATTTTTTGTATAAATAATTCATACATTTAAAAAATATTATTGATTTTAAAAACACATGAAATCATTTTTGTGTATTGTTTCCCATACATATATATATTGTATGGTTTCTTCCTTACTGCATAATATAGTTTTATATCTATAAACAATAAATCATTATGTATTAATTTTGTAATCTGGGGGATATTGATCATGCTGATCAACTGCCAGTACATATGTGGCTCTCAATTTCATAGGGGTCAGTACCCACTCTGTTAGGAACTCCTGCTCTAAGTCAGTGCTCCGCAACCGGTGTGCCGCGGCACACTGGTGTGCCATGAGTAGGATATAGGTGTGCCGCAATCAAATACATGTATTTGACATTTGCAATTTTTTATCATGTATTTAATACACAATGACAATTTTTTTTCCTTAATAATGTCTATTTTAAATGTTTTTATATATTTCACTGTTGTGTGTGTGATTGTAAGTGTGTCAGCATTTGAATTTTTTCGGAACTTCCTTGATAACTCGGAACTTAAAAATATATAACTTTTTTTTTAAACATAGATTTAAACGAAATATATTGGTTTCAGACCATTTTAATTAAAAATAATAGCTCTAAAACTGTTTTTTTTTTTTAAATTTGAAATAAACCAATCAAATTGAAGAATTTTTGTTTTTTAATTTTTTAAAAAAAATTTCGCAGTCAGTAAGAATTTCGTGTTGCGTTGTCAGATCTTGAGCCGAATATAAAACTTTTGTGTTCATTGAAGCAAGCGCAGGTATCACATTGATAATTATTATGATTGCATATAAATAAATGTTAGCAATTAATTAGTTCCTTTATTAAAAACACATTCCGTCAAACATTAATTGTTAAATACTTGCTTTATTCAGAAACATTACCGTCAACATTACTGCTCAAAAACTTACAGTTCAAAATATTATCGTTCAGAAAAAAACTGTTGTTGCCAATCGGGAAAATACATTTTAAATAAAATTAATACGTTGCGTTTACATAAATATGTTATGGTTTTATAATTGTATATTTTTCAAATTAAAAACAAAAATTTATTGTAAATTTTGTGTATAAATCAATACATATATACATTAGCTTTTGGTGTGCCACGAAATTCCAGAAAGATTTTTTGTGCGTCGCAGGTGAGAAAAGGTTGCGGAGCATTGCTCTAAGTGTTAGGGATATAAAATTCCACATAGAAAGATGGCTTTTCAATTTGTTTCATGTGAAAAATTTTACCAGCTTTTGATGGATTTGATTTTAGGTTGGATGAAAAGGAGTCAGGTACAAAGTGAGAGGGTCATTTGGAAATGAAAAATCAAGAAAATACCTATTATTCATGGCATTTTAGGGAACTTAAGGTTTCAGGACCAAGCCTTAAATGCTTAGAGGGTTAAGCCCCTTCTTTGTTCAGCTGTGCTAACAGTGGATTTCTGTGTAGCAATTCTGCTTTATGTAATAAACAATAAAGGTATTCAGCTTCAGCTAAATAAAAGTTCAAAAAGGGTATTCAGCTTTTTATTATAAAGTTGTATTGTATTTTGAGCATTATGTTTCAAGTAATTTAGACTGATATTGTGTTAAGAGTATCAGATACATTTTTGACACAAAGTATTTACAGCTTACAATAGCTTTATTAGGACATAATCCTACTGCAAGTCATATATGGTCTGAATATCAAAATAAATACTGAAATGTATGGAACTAACTCAAGGTTCGTATTGTCCATAAGAGTCCTTAGGTTTTTTGGAATCAATTTTTGGACCTTAAAAGTCCTTAATTTTAAACATCTGGAATTTCTGTCTGTTTTTACAACTGCCATTTTGAGTGTGAATGTGCATTTTGGAGGAATATTTTTGGCGATTCACTGACAAATATGGTTATCTTTTGAATTGGTTCATGGGCTTTAATTTGTTCCTCTTTCTAATGTAAATGGTGGGATACTTGAGTTACTCATAGTGAAAGAAGTGAAACATAAGAATTTCGAAATTATTTCATTTTTTCTAATGAAGAGCTGTTGGTTAGAGTAGACTTTAAGGTACCCCTTGTATTATGGTGAAGTTATTGTTCATTTATCGCCAAGTTTTTGTTTCGTTTATGATAGCCTGAGTAATTGAATGTTATGGAAACCCTATTGTGACGTAATCGGATGCATGATTCTAGGAAATTTTGAATCATGGTATGTTTTGTAAGCATTTTTGTGGTGTGTGTTGGTTTTATTGTTTAAACGGTAGAATGGCTGAATGTAGTAAGATGAATTTGAAGTTTCTGTACAATTTGGAACGAAAGGGTAAAAGAGCATTAATTGACTGGTGTGTAAATGAAGGTTTACTGGTTAGTAATTATAAGTGTCCTGTATGTAGGAAGGATATACGTCTAGTCGAATGTAAAAACCGTTTAGATGGGTTTGTAGGAAGAAAGGTTCAGATTTGGTGATGCCGATATTCGGATTTCGAGTTCAGATAATTTTAGGAAGTTTTTGGATGCTGTTAAGGAATTTTGTATGCCAGAGACTAAAGACGAAGGAACTTCTAAATAGAGTAAGTGGATATTTGCTTTTTGTAGTGCTTAAATGTATAACATGTTTTTCCTTTTTTATATTATTTTATTGTTTGGTTTAAAATGAGATTGTGTATTTTTTGTTTGCCTGTATTGTAGAATTGGGTACTTCTTTGACTTTGTAAGTGAAAATATATCGATGTGTACATGGACAAAGTGAAAGGAGCGCGCAATGCAAGTTTGTGCAATTCTTACATTATTTTTAAGTGAAAATAGGTCGACCTGTACATGGATAAAGTCAAGGGAGTGCGCAATGCCATTTTTGTGCAATTTGGAGATTTTTTTTTTAAAGTGAAAATAGGTCAATGTGTGC